GGGAAAAATCCTTCTTTAGATTATACACCTTTGGCTTTAGATCATTAGCAAAAGTCACTGTCTTCAGAACTTTAGCTCTGTCACTTTCTAGGCTTAAAAACCTATCTGTGTGCTTGTTGAAATCATTCTTTAGCTCTGAAAGCACCTTCTTAACAGAGTTAATTCTCTGTGAATTTTCAGCTGCTGTCTTTCGGAGCATTGCCGTTCGGTCAATGCTACTTGAAAGAAGATCACCTATGTTTTTTACTGTGTTTTTCTCTACTTTTTCTATTTTATTTTCCAGTTCTTGCACAGACTCTTTCAATGATGTTATCTCAGTTACTAAACCTGAAATACGTCGTATATCTGTTTTTATAGTTGTAGTCTTGAGACCAATATCTTTTGCCATGGAAATTGTATTTTGGTCTACTTTTGTAATATCTTGAGAAAGAGTTGTCAAATTGTTGTTCAGTGTATCCTGTTTTTCAGTTATCTTGTTGGACCAAGCTTTCAGCTCGGAAATTTCCTCTTGTAGCCGCTTTAGATGAGCAAGTATTTGAAAAGACTTCAACTGTTCCATGATCGCTTCAGACTTCTGACACTATAAGAAAATATAATACCACAGTCATTAAATTGGTTAAAAGATAAAGTTGAAATTCCACTTAAGTTTTATTAGTTTTAACCGTAACTTCACAGCTCCTCTGGAAAGCATTTAGTAAAAGATGTATGAAGTGTATTACTAATGAATAAGAAGGAAAACATTAAGGAAATATAAAATGTTACTGGAAACATTTTTCAGTTGTTATTTTTGTATTATCAATCCTCTGTAGAGAAAATACGCTAAATGATAGTGACTTCTTTTTCAGTTGCTGGAGACAGGAGGAGGAAGGAATATCACATTATTTGGTACAATTCCCTCATTTTACAAATTAAAACAGCCCCCAAAGTCAGGAGCCCCAAAACATACAGTTAGTGGCAAGGCCTAGGTGAGAACTGTTCTTCCTCCACCACTGCTTCCCAACTCTTCCTTAAGCATTCCTTAATTCCTTCTTACGCCCAAGGCCCAGACAATTTTAGGTCAGTTACAACTTTTGAGTGACTTCCAGTCTAGTTTAAAGGTGACATGGCAGTCATCACCTACCATCAAATTTGGCTGAATGACAGCTTTTTGAATCCTCAGGGATGTTCTACTGACAGACTCCTTGTGATTCTTTTCCTCCCCTGGTTGAACAGCAGCAGGGTGCATTGAACAGTGTGAAGTCAGTAGCTACTGGAGTTGGACAGACCCAGCAGCTTGATTGCAAGATTCCTAATCTTGCTGAGTCTCAACTTCCTCATTTGTAAAATGGGTCTCATAGTTAGCAAAGCATTCACGGTAAGCATTCATGGTAAGACGTGCAAAATGCCCTACACAATGACTGAGATCCAGCAGGTACTCAGCAGAGAGGTGTTAGGATGTTAATGATGAATGGAGATCTCCTAACAGTGTGACAGTGCACTACTTCTCTGCTCCCCTGCTATGCAAAGCTGGGATGGAGCATTTTGATTTGTATTACATTGATAGTTCATAGCTGAACTGAAATATACAGATGCTGGGTGAATTTGTATAGCTTTTGCCAACTCTGCAAATACAAGGTAAGGCTATAGAAGAAAGGGTTTTTTGTTTGTTTTGGTTTGTGCATTTGGTGAATTTACAGCATCATTATTGTATAATGAGATCATATTAAGCTTTGATCAAAATTGTAGATTCAGACCTGGCTGGGTAGTTCAGTAGGTGAGAGCATCATCCTGATAAGATGAGGTTTGATCCTTGGCCAGGACACATACAAAAATCAACCAATGAATGTATAAATAAGTGGAAAAACAAATTGATGTTTTTCTCTCTCCCTCTCCCTTCCTCTCTCTCTAAAATCAATTAAAAAAAGGTAATAGATTCTGTCAAAGGTCTACAAGTAGGTTGAGATTAAAAATAATGCCATTAACTTTGTAACTTACAAGTTTAGTTTTCTATGAAACCATACAGGTGAATAAATCAACATTTTTCATTACAAAAAATAAAAGTATGCCTAGTCAACAGCTTCTAATAAAAATTTAAAGAAAAGCATAAATATACTTTGGAAATTTACATCCAAGAGTTTAAAAAAATTAGGTGTTTGTTTTATAAAAGTGAATTATATGTATGCTAAATGTTCTTTTTTAAATGAGTCCAGTATTCTGTATCAGAAATCAATTCATATAAAATCAATTATCAACTACAAAGATACAAAAGTATGTCTAAGAATATGGTAATCTGCCCTGGCTAGTGTGGCTCAGTGGATTGAACACCAGCCTGTGAACCAAAAGGGTCGCTGGTTTGATTCCCAGTCAGGGCACATGCCTGGGTTGCAGGCCAGGTCCCCAGTAGGGGGCGTGCGAGAGGCAACCACACATTGATACTTCTCTCCCTCTCTTTCTTCCTCTGTTCTCCTCCATCTAAAAATAAAATAAAATGCAAAAAAAAAAAAAAAGAAAAGAATATGGTAATCTTTCTTAAGGAAAGATCAACAATGTAATTCAGTATTTGATATATAGGGAAGTTTTTGAAATTTCAAGTATCTCTGTTAAGTAAATGAATGTAAGAAACAGAGGAAGATAAATTTGGTACATCTAAAACTCTCATGACATTTTTAAATAGGGAAACCTGTACATAAAGGAATATACATGTGTATACACACACAATAGATTTCTCATGAAATCCTTGTAGAAGGGCAGTTTTTGTTTCCCTCGTAACTGCCACTGTAGAGCACAGTGGCCACATTGTCTCCCTTTATTTTCTGTAACTTACTATGATATACACAAATTAATAATAATAATGAGGTATCAAATACAGTGATAGACCAGAAAAAAAAGTGGAAGTGAAGAACACAAGAGATCACATCTCATCTTATAAGATGGATGTTGAAAGAACAAAGTTGCAGCTAACTTTATAATCTATTTTATTAGCATGAAAATAAAAGCAAACAAATACAATTTTGTCAGTGCACATAGACATGAACTTAGAAATTCAGAATTCAAGAAATTTAATATTAGGATTCCAGAAATTAGTGCTATGCCTTTTTAATAGCACACTTCCATTTTTATGATCAATGGCTGTCCACCATAGGAGAACATGTTTGGAATTTTTCAAAAAATGTGCAGATTTACACAGTAAAACTACATGACCACAACTGCCTTTTGTAGCCAACTGCTTTCAAGTTCTTTGTGCTTAATTCCACTGAAATTGCATTATAAAACTGGGACTACAGTTGGTTATTGTCAAGAATAAGCAAGAACAATACTTCCATATGCAGTTGACTCAGTTTTCAATGCCAAGTTTGAACACTCTTGCTACATGAGTTTACCAATAAAAGTCCCAAGGCCTTCCCCAACCCTGCACATTTCTGATTATCGTTATTCAAAAAATACGGCTAGATCTCTGCTTAATCACATATCAGTATGTCCATGACTTATTCCTTGTGACTCTATTATAGAGTTTTGAGTAAAATAAAATCACTATATGAAACAAATTTGATCAGGCAATTAGTTTGGAGACTCTTTAAAATGATGGACTTTTAATTACCTTAATTTTCATCATCTTTTTTTTCATTTTTATTTGTGTGTGTGTGTACTCAGCCCACTGTGGGGAGTGGCTCTGGGGCAAAGGAGAGAGGGTGGAGGCTGAAGAGCAGAGCCTTTTAAATTTGTTTCATTAAGTCCTGTGCCTAAGTTGGAGAGGCAGGAAGTTGTACCTCTGGATGAGTAGCCTAACCCTAACCCTAAACCCCAGTGTCCCCTTCCCCGCTCAGGAACCCAGAGGAGAGCCTGGAGAACTTCAAGGTGCGGGAAGCTGAACTGGCCCTCGGAAAGGTAAAGCCCTGAGGCCTCGTCCCCTGAGCATTTGGCACATCTGCCCATGGCCTTAGTTTGCAGCCCCGTGTTGCACATTTCTGTTTGTGGTGCCTTTCTCCAGCTGGTGCATGAAAGGCCAGGACAGTGTCCTAATTTGTCTTGACTTGAACAAACTTGGCACAAGCAGGCTGCCCAGCAAATACCTCTTAAGTGTCATTAATCCACAAATACTGACTTAACTCTTGTCAGGTAACAGGCACCATTCTGGTCCTTGGGGGTATAGTAGTGAACAGAAGAGATAAACCCTTGCGTTCCTAGAACTTATACTGGGGATAATAGTTCATAAAATTTGTTCCACAGAAAGTTTGTTAAGGGGATACGGAGTTGGAAGTTTACAGTTTTACATGGTGGGGGGTTGGGGCGGGGTACAGGTGGAGGGTTAAGGGAAGGGAACATTTGAGAAAGGCCCTCAAGGACAGGAGCATTCTAGGCAGAAAATTGGTGTAAAAGTGTGAGCAGGGAAAGAGGGAAAGTGTGGAAAGAGGTGAGGCTGCAGAGTTAGGGAGGTGGCAGGCTGGCTCTCATTTTTTCTCATTTTGCTGCTTTTTCCTGTTTAAAATAGGCCACAGGCTTTTGGTGTATGGTTTCTCTGGAGATCCTGTATCTAGTAAACTCAAGACTCTGTAATACAGTCAGAACCTTTGAAAAAAAACATGGCAGCTATGCAGAGATATTCCAAAAGTCCATACTCACTTCAAAGCACACACACTTAATTCATAGGAAAAACCTTCAGCAAAAACATACATGGAGCAGCAAAAGTAGGCTAACAGTTTACTCGCAAGGAAAATAATACAATAATTAATAAGTAATAATATAAGAATAAACTGTCTCATGTACTCACAACTGTAAACTACTTTTACCTCACTCTATATTTACTATTATTTAGAAATTCTTACAAGATTCTGTAACACAGTTTAGAACCTTAACAAAAAGTTTAAAAAAATGTTTCCAAGACTCCATAGTTTTCAAAAAGTGCATATTAATTCATAGCAAAGCACCCCAGGCTTGCCCTCGGGCATGATATCTTTTATTTTAGACAAAATTTCTATGAACTTCATTGTCTGGATTCTTAGCCAGTAGTAAATTACAAAAAGAAGACCTGGCTGAGACTGGCATTTTACCAACCGACCGGACAGAATGATAGGTCAGGTCACCTTTTCTGGTGACAGAAATGATAGCACAAGTATTATAGATATAAGGATTGAAAAATAGCAAACTGGGGTCATTTAGTAAGGAGGTAATCTTCAGTAGCTCCTAGAGAAATTAATATATTTGTATATCAATAGAAATAAGTGAAATTCATAATGATGACTATTAAAGAAAAACATTTAAAATATTAAGTATATTGCTTCTTAAAAAGTAGAGAAATATATATTTGAGAAATATATCTATTTAAAATGGTTAAAATAAAATAAGTTTTATTGCTTAAAGAGATAAGCTTTGATCATCGGGATAATCCATTTGTGTGGACACCTCCCTTCTTTTCCCATAATGTAGGATGACGTGAGACATCATCACACAACGCCAAAGCATGGAACCAGTCAACTGATACATAGCAATATGGTTCATCAGAATAGATGCAGTGCATTTAGAAATCACCATTGATTCCTTTATTTTCCAGATTATGTTCTTCTAAACCTCCTTTTTCTCTTGTGCTTGAATGTACTATAAACTCATGAACCTTTCCTTTCAGAACATCCAGTTCATTTTGCATCTTTAATATGCTGTTATCGTACTGAAGTCCTTCAAGGGTTTTCTGCATCTCCATGATCTCAGATACTGCTTTGAGCATATCCTCTTCCATATTAAACATCTGAATAGTTAAGTCTTCCATTTTCTTTTCTGTCCCTAGCAGGTCCTGAGAAACTTTGAGAACAGAGCGAATTGCACTTTCTATGGTTGGCAAATGTGTCTTGCATTCTTCCACGTTGGGTTCGTAGCTGGAAAGCTTGTTGGTCAGGTCTTCATCTCTGGCAAAGAGAGCATGCTGTTCCTCTTCTAGCTTTTCAACCGCTCTTGTATCAGAGCCCAGCTGCTCCTCGACCCGCAGAAGATCCTCCTCTTCTTGTCTTTTCACTGTTCTAATATTTCTGAGTGTGCTGTCTTCTAAATCTTTTAGCCTTTCAGTGAGCAATTTTATTCCTTGTTCAGCTGAGTTAATTTGGACAGTAACTTGAGAATGTATATGCTTTGATTCCGACTTGAAAATGTCTGTATTAACATTCATTTCTTCTAGGCTTCTCTTCCAGAAATTTGTAACATTTTGGAATTTCTCATTAAGGCTTTGCATCTTTTGAGTGAGCATCTCTTCATTGTTTTGAATGTCATGCATGACATGCTGGAGGCTGGACACTTCCTGCTCAAACTGGGTCACCAAAGACATGGATGATGTAGCTTCCTGCAGGATACTTTCAGTAGACTCAAGCTGCATTTATAACACAAAACAATTCCCAATGCTACTTAATAACTTTTATATTAGGGAAACACACTTTAACAAGTATGTGCCAAGTTCAAATTCTGAAGATGTCTAAAATACCAAGTATATCAGAACCATACTGACAAATACATTTGTTACTTTAATGCTGTTTTAAAATACTCAAAACAGATTTAGCAGGTTAGCACTATAGCAGAAAAAGACACACCTGAATTTATAATCCTAAATACTGGCACACTTTCATGGAGGGGTATTCAAGTGAAAAATAATGCTAAAGGAGCCTGAAGTATATTACATTTCTTTCTTTTTTCACTCCAATGGAAAGCAACTTAGTTGTCATTTAAATGGTTATTTGGCTTTTTTAGAAACTGTAAATAGTTACAAAACTTATTAACAGAATCAGATATCACAAAGGCAAAATGAATAAAAAACCCCCACAGTTTAGTGAGACAACTTACGTCAAACAGTAAAGTGTTCTAAGTAGCTGCAAATTATGGTAAGCTCCTGGCATGTTCCAATGTATGCCTGGAACATACATGGGCCAGGTTGTGGACTTCTCTTAGTCTACACTCACACACATAACAGCCTTAGAGACACAGAAAGGCCTAGAAATGAACATCAATTTATCAAATGTTTGAAGCCTTGTGTTGAAGGCAATACTGTACAAAACATAGTTCTGCCCTTCAATAGCATAGTTTAATTGGGGTGAAAGCCAAGTCTATATGACAGGGGAAGAACTATGGAAGCACTCACATGGGGCACCCAAACAAAACTTTGATAATCAAGGAAAATATTCTAGAAGTGTTATATAATATCTGCTTTCAGTTACTTCCTCTAAATTATTCTACACACTAGGTGCCTCGTGAAGGCAATAGGTAGCTCGTCAGTCTCATAAATTATTCTACATACTACAGCCAGATTAAACTTTTAGAAACTGCTGTGTATATCACAGGACAACATGAAAAAGCCCACAATGTTTCCTAGTACTTCTAGGATCAAGTCCCAAAGTCCATAACCTCTCTCTGCGCTCGTCTTCCTTCTTCTTTGCTCAGCTAAGTTCTGTCCTTCCTTCAAGGCTCAGACCAGATCTCAGCTTGTCAGCGGAGCGTTCTGCCATAGCCCTAGCCTGACAGTTTGAACTCCTGCGGCACATATCGTGTTGTGCATTTGCCCTCTATTTGCCACTGAACACATATAATTCAAGAATTTTTGAGTGTTCGTTCACTCTGTGCCAGACCTGCTCTAGACACTGGGTATGAAAATGTAGATATAGTATAGTCCCTGGCTTCACAATTGGGTTAAGGGAGATAGTGCCTTGGACCTTTTACATCATATATTCTAGAGTTCCAGTAAGATTTATTAAGTGTCCTCTGTTTCATTATTAGGCAGTAGGGATATAAACAAGAGACACTGTGTTAGTCCTAAAGATCAGGAGAGGAGACAAATTAACAATGACAAAAAGATCACAATAGATTATGATTTGTGTCGTGACAGAAATAGCATGGGAGAATGGATGCTTGCAGGCAAGGTCAGACTCTGGGTGTCAGTGAGGAAAGGCTGAGAAGTGACTCTGAAATCCGACCCTTTAACAGGCTGATGAGCTAGTCTGGTAAAGACAGGAGAGCTTCCAAATTCTTTCGGGGAAGAGACCATGTCTTATGCATTTTTGTAGTCCCTGTATCTTGGGGTATAAAGAACATGTTTGTTGATGTTTAAGAAGAAAAATGGCCATAAACCTTCTGCACCCACCCCAATCATACTTGAAGCAGTTCCAGGTGACAGCTGGGAGCAAATGTGTGACAGTACAATAAGACAACACTGAGACCTTGTTTGTTGGGAACGCCCTGCCTGGTTTCAGAAGCTGTAATCCCCTGTGGCTAAGGCTGAGTAAAGGACCTTGTGACCATAAGCCACTTAGGATAAGCCACAAAGCTTATCTTCCTTGTAGGGACACCACCTCTGTCCCCTTTCTCTTCACTCTGCTTGGCTCCGGGCGGATGACTGGTTAGCCAACGATCAGTAAGATTCCTCAAAAGAGAGACAACCTAAGACAGGCACAGTCTCAAAGAGGCCCTCAGGGAAGGACTTGGGGGCTACAGAAAAAGGGGGTGATGGACCCTCGCCCCTTGGTTTTGACATAGCCTGAGTCCTCATTCTGTCTGCAAGAAGCCTCCTAATCCCTTGGCTGCCTTACTTCCCCTGCCTGACTTAAGCCTGAAACAATGCTGGAGGTGGGTGCAGCCCTGTGCTGGAAAGAGCGGGTTCCCTAGGGTGATCAGGCCTAAGACAGAATGTATAAAATCCTACAAAACCTACTTTGTTAATACCCTCAATTTAAATGATAAGGGTCCAAGCAGGAAGTGAGTTTGTTCCCCAAAGTTTTATGGCCCTTTAACGACTTGACCCTGACTCAGAATAAGCCCTCAGAGTTCTCTGAATGTTATCTATTGTTTAATCATTTCTGCCTGACAATGATTGATGAGCTTTACATATACACCCTGTATTCCTGTGCAAATTGACCCAATAAAAGCTTGTCAAGGCAAGGGCCAGGTGCTCTCCTCTTGAGAGGGTGGCCAGGAGCCAGGATCTTCATCACTTGTTTACAAATTATTTTTAATGCCCACATGTAGCCCTAACACAAGTTCCTTTAAAAAGCAATTCTAAGAAATACATGCACATTGGTAGCACTGCTAGGTTTAGTTGTCTTATCAGCAGCATTTTGAAGAGGCAAGCTTGTCTTCACCTAAGGTAGCCCCTGCCTGGGCTGTTCATCAGAGTATAACCTGAGGCAGTAGACCCCAAAGGTTGAGAAGATCAAGTTTGCAAGATAATAAGGTCTCAAGATTTAATCTGCAAATACAAGATGGGGGAAAAGTAAGTTTACAGTTGTTCCTGTCGAAAATAATACAATAATTAATAAATACAAGAATAAACTCTGTTTTGTGTACTCACAACTGTAAACCCACTTTTGCCCCATCCTGTATATACTGCCCAGTAAACAATAGTTAGCATTTATGGATTCCCAGATATTCTAAGAGTTTTTCATTTTTTAGAAAAGAGTTAATACCTTAAATTTATTACTGCTTGAAAGTGTTCGTAGAGTTTACATATATATTTTATCTCATCTGATCTTCAGAGAAAAACTTGTTATTCTCACTAACAAGGAAATGGATAAGGAAATGGAGGCCAAGAGAAGCTGAAGTGATTTTTCCCAAGGTGATGGATGCAGTTGTGACGGGACCCCATGCTTACTTGTTTTCCCTTCCTACCACACTGTGCTGCCCATTAGGGTCAGCTCTGTGAAACGGCAGCTACTGTTAAACTATTCCTGGGGTGGAGTAGGAGAGAAAGAGCTACATTAAGACTGAATATTTTTTGGATCCTATGATATTTTAAACATCTGTTTCAAAAAGCATTTTAACCCTGGCTGGTGTGGCTCAGTGGACTGAGTGCGGGCCTGCAAACCAAAGGGTCCTGTTGGATTCCCAGTCAGGGCACATGCCTGGGTTGCGGGCCAGGCCCCTAACAGAGGGCACTTGAAAGGCAACTGCACATTGATGTTTCTCTCCCTCTCTTTCTCCCTCCCTTCCCCTCTGTAAAAATAAATCAATACAATTTTAAGGAAAAAAAAAAAGCATTTCAATTGCTACCAAAACTTTCATTTAAAAAGGTAACCTTTCTTCAAAATTTGCTATCAATAGCTTTTAAGCTCATAAAGTTTGTCTCCTGGATTTTTTTTTATCATGTTCCTTCTGATTAGAGGGTCCCCAACAATGATAACCAGATTCCAACCTGAGCCCTACGTCAAAATGTCAATTCTTGCAGCTCCTTCCCAGAGGCCCCTAAGCTCACATTTGATGCCCTGGCATGTTTAAAGGGATATGGAATTTTTCATCCATGGTCTTTATCTTCTGAGGGAGTATATGCTCATCCTGTGCATGTGACTTCAGGAACTGAGACCCTCTATTTCATTTATGTTTATTTTTATAGCATCCTTGCTCACCCTGGTGCCAATCACAAGTCCTATCTACCTTATGACATGAGTAAAGATTTAGTGGATGAATAAATGAACCAACAAGACAGGTTTCCCGATGACAGCTTGGTCCCTAGTAGCTGGGCAAGGCCCACATGATGCCTTATTGATTATAGCAGACCCTCTCCCAAGAGGTGCAGTAGTTAAAATTTTTTGTCACACATTTCTAAGAATCTCAGAAATAATGCGTCTGCATTCACAGCTTGAAGAAACACAACAGACATGGATTTTAATTTTCATGTGGTTATAAAATCATTTTTTTAGGTTAGTCAGTCTTATATACACATGGACATACGCTTACCAAGTGGAAAGAAGAGGAATAAATACTGATGGATCTTTGTCCAACAAATGCTTTTCCTACTTCAATTTTATAGCTAAAGATCTATCACATTTTCAGTGCTCTAGACACTTGATATACAAATAGAAAATTGAGGTCACCTCAGCATGAGCACATTAGCCTTTTCAAACAATAACATTATAGTAAAAAAATCTTTGTCCTTTCAAAATATAATTTGTCTAAATTGGATTGAAGGGACACTGTAAAGATGTAGGGAGACCTATGAGAGTTAAAACAGCATTGTCCGAAAGGTAGGGAAAAAGAATTTATGAACTGGGGTAGATAGTGGGGAAGAAAAATGGGAAAAATATTCCCAAATAAGTCAGTTAATAATTACCTTTTCTGAAATTAAACTGATTTTATTTCGAAGTCCTTGGAATTCATTCGTTTCTATTTTCAATAACTGGTATTGGTTTTCCACCTTTGCAAACTTTTCCACCTGCTGAAATACAAACCTGGAAAAGAAAAAGAATCACTATCACCTAATTAAAATCTATTTAAGTCTGAATTTTAAAAGAGTATTTTATACCCAGTTCTGGTAAGGACAATATAAATTCTGGTATGGGTAGTAGCAGCTTTTATTAGTTTATTTGAATAAACATTTACACACTAACTGATATGGCTCAGTGGATTGAGTGCCAGCTTGAGAACCAAAGGGTTGCTGGTTCGGTTCCTGGTCAGGGTACATGCATGGGTTGTGGTTCCCGGTTTGGGGTTTGTGAGAGGCAACTGATCTATGAATCTCTTGCACATCGATGTTTCTCTCCCTCTCTTTCTCTCTAAAAATAAATAAATAAAATATTTAAAAAATATTAACTCGTTAGCAATAAGGAAGATTTTCTAGAAGCCAAAAATGTATGATGAGAGGAGGTGGCTTCAATTCTGAAAAACTAATTTTTAAAACAGACATCTGGATTAGCACCCAAGGTGCTTCGTTTCCTTTTTATATGTCAGAGGCATATTTCAACAGTAATTCAAAACCTCTTCACACTCATCTCTAATCTAGATGAGACAAAGAATCAGAACCACATCTTGTAGTTGAAGAAAGAAAGGAGCTGTAAGTAGTTCTGGAGCAAGGATTTCTATTTCTAGGGTCCTGCCTCTTTTTGGATTAATATCAAAGAGGCAGCATATCATACTGGTTGAGTAAGGAGCTGGGCAACTTTGGCTCTGCCATTTATTCTCTGTAAAACCACCTTGGGCAAGTTATCTTTGCTACAGTTTTCTCATCTGTAAAAAGGGGATACTACCACTTAGTTCACAGGGTTGTTGTACAGATAAATAGGCTCTTATTTACAAAGCTCCCAGACAGTGCCTAGAGCGTGTCACACCTCAGCTACTCTTCTTTAAGTGCCCTGCCTTTTCTTTTTTTTTTTTTTTTAAGATTTTGTTTATTTATTTTTAGAGAGGGAAGGGAGGGAGAAAGAGAGAGAGAGGGAAACATCAATGTGTGGTTGCTGGGGGTCATGGCCTGCAACCCAAGCATGTACCCTGACTGGGAGTCAAACCTGCAACACTTTGGTTCACAGCCTGCACTCAATCCACTGAGCTACACCAGCCAGGGGTGCCCTGCCTTTTCTTTCAGACTGCTTTGTACAGCTGCTCTGCCATCCTCTGACAAGCCTATAGTGGTTGACAGAAGCTCCAGACCTGTGCCCCTTTGAAACCAGGGATGGGTTTATGACAAATGAAGGATGCAATGCAATGAATGGATGAGACCACTCATAAGACAACCATTTTCTTATCCTGTTTTGGGGTCTCTTCCCATTATCATGTAAGTAAAGGCCTTGAAGGCTTGGGTATAGGAGGAAAAGACCAAGTTAATTGGCTACCACAGCAGGGTTTACAAAAGGCATCCTTTTGACTCCACAATCCATTGCAGTCTATAGACCTCACTCGGGTTCAGGGCCTGGTGGTATTAAACTGTGCATTCCCTTGGAGCATTGCCTCTGCATAGCTCCTTTAGGAATCTTAGATGGTAGGCAGACAGCTGATTGAGGGCTAATATATTATAGGAGTTTGTCTGGCTGTTTCAACTTAATGAAAAAGAGGCAAATAACAAAAAGAGCTGTTATAATGGAACTTCAGCAAAAAAGAAGTTCCAGGGCCACCACTGGAGTCAGTAAACCAGGTAGTCCCGTTTCGTGCTACAGCTTAATTTTTAGCGTGATACTGAATGTTCTGTAAAACACTGACTATATTCCATTATTAAAAAGCAGGACATTTAAAGAATAACTGTCTTAGATAAAACTCTATTAACAAAATGCTGAAAAATGGGGTTAGCCACACTTTTACTGTATAAATGATTTATAAAGTGTGTTAGATAATAAAAAGTGAGTTACCTGATTGTTTGAAGAGCTTTTGACTTCTTATACATAATTACCTCAAATGTGATGAGAAACTTTTATAAAGGCAATTTAGCATCTGTTGATATATTCCAGAAGAAACTTTACAATGGTACTTCTGGTTTTCAATTTATGTTATTATATAAACTAGTAAAATATTATTTGTGACTTGTTTAGTAATTTCACAAATTTTTTGAAAATGGAATCTCTTCAATCCTCTTACCTGAAAAATTTCCTTAAGAGTTTATAAACCAAGTCTGCAAACTAACAGTCAAAGCCAAGGAGTTTTGGGCAACTGTTATCTCCAATGTCTTTTTGTTAAACTGACAAATCAGGACTTTATCTGTTACACATTATCTTTGCTTACTCTCTGAACAAGACTCCCAAGACTAAAAGGCCTGAAGACACTGAGATAGTGATCTCTTCAAATCCTCCTTGGGCAGTGGAAAGGTTTAAACTCCTCCTCCTAATTTAATTTAAGTGTAAAAGGATGGCTAAACTGTGTTGATAGGCACAAATATTTCAATGTTGTATTTTAACAGTTATGGACAGTCTCAGTATAGTAAGCATTCAATATCCAACAAACTGACCTTTAGATGCTGAAGTATGTGTTCTAGAGGTAAAAATCTCCATGGCTTTATGATAATTTCAGTATTCTGAAAGGCCAAAGTCATTATCCTCTGGAGCATTTTACAACTGGCTTCCTGGCAACTGTCATCAGTTTTGGTTCAAATAAAATATCAATAAAAATTCTCTACTGTTTTGGATATTTCTTATGTTGACAGATCACTATTAGTGCTTTTTCCCAGGACAGTAACTAAATTTTTGGAAAGCTGAACATTTTGTGATATAATTTATCTCATATGAATATGCATCTTTGGATAATTAATGAGAATAAAATCAGTAACTAAAACCAGTTGTCTAGGTTCCAGGGAAGAGCAACATTTATCTTTGAGGATACTAACTTCTATTCCTGAATAACTTTTCCAATACAAATAGGTTTAACTTACCTAAAGAAGGTCATGCATTTTAAGACATAAGAACAGTTTATTCAAAACAGTAAATTCAGTACATTTATTCGTTTAAGATCAAGATCAAAATATTCCATAAACAAAACTAACATTAGTAAAATAATATATATCTTTGAAGATAACATTTAATAATCAATACTTTACATTATTGTAACAAGTCTTTTAAGTTCGACTCAGGATGAGTCACCACTAAAGTATAATTAAAAATTTACTAGCATAAAAAAGTTCTAGACTAGAGGATGTACAGGGTTCCTTTTGGAATTCGATTTCAGATGAATATTCTTCTAAGTAATTTAAAATCAGTGAAAAATGGAGGGAAAGTCTAATTTAAAACGTCTTGTCACAAGTGCTGTTTTTGTAGCGTTCCGTACTCAAATTCAATCTGTAGCTTAGGAATAGACTAAACTTTTATACACGCATGCACAAGGATCAAGACAGAAATCCTCCAAACTTTGATATAATCATTAACGTTTCTTGGTTTGAGATCATAAGGAATCCTTTTAAGGTTGCAAAACGTTGCCATTAGGCATTTATGAGGTGGGGCAAATTTCTCCCGGACAAATGCACAGCAGACTGGAAATAACGGGTTATAAAAACGGGAAAGCTTTAGACGTGTCGTAGGCACTTTAATAAAGTTTGGTCGAATCTGCATCTCTTAAGAAATGGCTGACTCGTTTCAAATCTTAGCCTCAACTCCAGTTGAGCATACCGGACAAGTTACTAGTACAAAGGTAAAATGAGTTACAAGAAAAGAGGGAAAGAAAAAAAAGAAGTTGGGGTGTCCCTTCTTGGAGGTCGAGGCAGAGAAACAGAAGCCGCAAGTCTGGTGATGGGTGTGGAGATTAGAGGATGCCGAGCCGGGTGGGGCCGGAGCAGGACCAAGACAAGAGCAGGGCGATCGACCACGGGAGGCCGTACTAGGTCCCCGTACGGCCTAGCGTCCACTTACCAGGCCAGGCCCAGGCACATCCCCAGTGACAGGAGACTCACGCCAGTCCGGGGGTCCACCCAGCCCCCACCTCCACTGTCCCGGGACTCTGGGTTCTTCCCGCCCTCGCTCCGCTTCCCGGGATCCGCGGGGGCTCCCTTGGGCCCCGACTTCTTCCGGTTCTTCACCTCGGACATGTTTGGAGGTCCCGAGGGTAGCAAAGCCAGGGCGGACCCTACACTTTCTGGGAGCGGGACGTGGCCGCCCTGGCCTCCGCTGGAAGCCTTGGTGGTGACCGCGTCCCCGCCCAGACTTAGCACCGCCCAGAAATCAGCCCTCTTTCTCTCTTGGCCCTCCTCGCTGCTTCACGGAGTCCTCCCATCTTCCAGCTGCGACAGAGGTTCACACAACCTCCTCCTCCCGCTGTGTTAATGCTTCAAGCCCCAGGAAACCTTAGCCTCCAGGCTCCCGCAGGCAGCTGGAACGCCGGGGGCGGGGCTGGCAGCGCTCACCACGCCCAGAACGCGGTGCACCCCCCTGCTTTAGCCACGCCCCCGCCATGGGCTGGGGCGCGGGGCGCTTTTACGCGCGCGGGCACAAGCCGGAGCGGGAGCGTGCGCGGCGGCGGCGGCCACCCTAAGCTAGGCTCCGGGTGTGTTTATTTGCATGCGCGGGCGCGCTCTGTCCGGCTGGGCGGGCTCCGCGGGATTTGACTGCTCCGCGGTCCCAAGCCAAAGAGGGTTTGCTGTGCTGTAGGCGCGGATGCTTTATACCTGGGCCGCAAAGGTGAGGGAGGAGTTTGGATTGCCACCTCCCCTCGGGGACTTAAAGCAGCTCCATAGCGTCGGGAGTGGTACCGGGCTTCCAGGGTGCAGCTGCTGCCCTAGGGAAGGAGGGACAGTTTGAGTGGCCCTCCTTTCTTTGTGTCTGGGGTGGGGTCCACCGAGAGGGAGGCCCAGGGGCCAGGCCTCACCTCGGCGCCCCGGAACTGTGTTGTCCGCCCGCGGAGGTCACGTCTACCTTTCCCCGGGTCGGAGGTCCCTGGGAGTCTTCAGGCACCCCGGGCTGCGGAGGCCCTGGTGAGGCACCTGGGAGACTTGGACTTGACCCGGGGCTGCGCCCCAAATCCTGCTGCCTTTAGGAAGTGCCGGTTACCCATTCCCAAATTTGACTTCCAAGTCTGTCCCTACAGGGCTGGTTTCCTAGTAAGACCTTGGTGCGAAGGTTTGGTAAGTTTGCGCCTCGTTTTTCTCCCCAAGCCGGTTGTTTGGTGGTTCTGTACGGATTTCAGGGACTCAGAATTGGGGGGACAAGGTGCCTCCTCTACCAGGAAGAGATACTATCTAAAGAGGAAGTAGTTGACTATTAACGGTTTTCCTGGATGAAATTGCCATTCTTTAGAAGGAAAACTAGATTTTACATCTCTGAAGACTTTCGACTTTGCATTTTGATGTGCCTGCAAAAGATAGGACACTGAGAATTTGTTCCGGGTATTTCAGTTTGTGCACTTTAAAACTTACGTATTTTTAATAGGGCTAGGAAAAGTTGGAAATTAGTTTCAGATTGTCAGAGTTCAGAGTGTCTATTTGCTAGGCAATTGGACATAATTTGAAAAATTCATTTGTTTTGTCAAATTGAGGTTTAGTACTAAAAATTAAGGGATGCTTTATGTTTAAATTGAGATAATAAAAACGTTATTAACATTTAAAAAATCTTACGGTCATAACTTTTTCTTTTGTCAGTTTCATGCCTGGGCAGGCCGTTCTGTGAACTTCGACAAACATAGGCAGATGCTCTACTTCCCTATGTTTGCAAGTGTCATGTTTGGTGGCACTTTAAAAATATGTAGTCATTATTGAAGCTTAATGATTATTGCTCCTTTTCTGTGCGATTTAAGTTTCTTGTATTATCTCTGTTTTTGCACTTAGACTTCACATTCTAATTATCTCTTTATTTTTTTCCCTACTAGATTGTGAATTCCAGCAGGGATATGATTTATCTTTTCTGTCAGGGCCTGGCTCATAGGAGAGGCTCAAATGTTCATTGAATGAATAAATTAATAAACACATTTACACACTCCTTTTAATAAATACATTCTGTTACTGTTTTAAAAACTTGCAAACATTCTGACCTGGGTTGTATATCCATGGAAAAATTTGCATTCTCTGTGAAATAAAGTTGGTAGAAACTTAAGAGTGTTACACTGTAAAGAATATATTCTTTCTTTGTGGCCTCTTAATCCAAGAAGTGACACCAGAGGGTGTTTCCTGTTGCTTTGTCATTCTTAGCAGCTTGGCTGAAACATTAGTGGAGTGAGCATATGAGAAATGTGTTTCTCATTGAAGACATAGAGTTGATGCAGACCTTGAGTGAGAGCTAATATTTAATACCAACAACGTTCTGTTTAGTCTTATGTTGAATAAAGAAAACAAGTTTTTAAACATTAGTGCTTAAGTATGACCACTGTTTATAAATTTTTTTAAAGGGAAATTTTTTATTGTAAAAGTGACAATGTATATTGAAAAAAATTAAGACACTATAGAACAGTATACAAAGTAGACGGGGGAAAAACCTTCAAGTCTTGCTACTTAAAAGTAACCCAAACATTTTGTTGGGAACAAACCTCTGAAGATCTCCCTGTGTGTTTACATATTGCCAGCACTTTTTTTGTGCTGTATATGGGATAATATTTCTAATTTTTTCAATCAGCAATATGACATTAGCATCTTTCCATGTCTGTTCATGGAGGTGTATGTGTGTTTTGGTTTTTTTTTCCTGGTCAGGGCACAAGCCTGGATTGCCAGTTTGATCCCCAGTCGTTTCTTTCTTTCTTTTTTTAAATTTTATTTTAATCATTGTTCAAGTACAATTTTCTATGTTTTACTCCCATCCCAGCCCACCCACCCAACCCTCCCTACCTCCCTTCCATTTCCACCTGCCCCTAGTTTTTGTCCATGTGTCATTTATACTTGTTCTGTAAATCCTTCCCCTTTTCCCCTGAAATTTTCTCCCCTCCCCTCTGAACACTGTCAGCCTGTTTTCTATTTCAGTGTCTTTGGTTATATTTTGCTTGTTTCTTTGTTTTGTTGATTAAGTTCTTGTTAAAGGTGAGATCATAGGGTATTTGTCTTTCACTGCCTGGCTTATTTCGCTTAGCATAATGCTTTCCAGTTCCATCTATGCCGTCGCAAAGGGCAGGAGCTCCTTTCTTTCTGCTTCATAGAATTCCATTGTGTAAATGTACCATAGTTTTTTGATGCATTCATTTACTGGTGGGCACCTAGGTTGCTTCTAACACTTGGCTATTGTAAATTGTGCTGCGATGAACATTGGGGTGCATAGGTTCTTTTGGATTGGTGTTTCAGGGTTCTTAGGATATAATCCTAGCAGTGAAATTGCTGGGTCAAAAAGCAGATCCATTTTTAGTTTTCTGAGAAAATTCCATACTGTTTTCCGCAGTGGTAGGTGTATTGTATTTTGAATGGGTATATAATATTCCATCTTATATACATACCCATATTTTAATCCATACTCAAAGTGTGGGCAGTTTGGTTGTTTTCATCTTTCTCATCTAAGCACTCTGTTTATGGATATTTTTTTGCATGTACATGTGAATGTTTCCCCAGGGTAAATTCCTAGAAGTGATATTGCTGGGTTAAAGAGAATGCTTACCTTAAACACTTTTGGATCCTATATTGCCTTCCAAGAAAGTTGAATCCATTTTGTGCTCACCTCAAGTAACACATAAGAATACCCATTTTCTCACACTTTTGAAGGCATTGTTTTTTCTCCATTTAAAAAAATCTTCACAAAAAATACTTCTTTTATATTTTCTGATTACCAGCTCATGGTTAACAGCTCAGAGAGAGAAACATTTGAGGGAGGATGGATGCAAAAGCTCGAAATTGTTTGCTTCAACATAGAGAAGCCCTGGAAAAGGACATCAAAACATCCTACATAATGGATCACATGATTAGTGATGGAGTTTTAACACCCTCGGAGGAGGAAAAAGTGAAAAACGAGGTAAAGCCCCCTGAAGCAGTCTCTGCTTTCTTTCAAGTTTTTAGAATTTATGCCTTGGTTGGTTGGCTGGGTTGGAGTGTTGTCCTATACACCAAAAGGTTGAGGGTTTCATTTCGGTTCAGTGTTCGATCCCCTGTTGGAATGCTTATGGAAGGCAGCCTTTCAATATTTCCCTCACATTGGTGTTTCTCTCTAAAAATCAATAAACATATCCTTGTGTGAAGGTTAAAAATTTTTTTCTTTGGATTTATTTCAGAATTTGCACTGGTCTCTACTAATTTGTTGCGAACATATTGTTTGTATTATGCTAAACTACTACTTTTTTTTTTTAGCCTACTCAACAGCATCGAGCAGCATTGCTAATTAAAATGATACTTAAAAAAGATAATTATTCCTACATATCATTCTACAATGCTTTACTACATGAAGGGTATAAAGATCTTGCCATCCTTCTCCATGGTGGCCTTCCTGTCATCTCTTCTTCCAATGGCAAAGATTCAGTTGGTGGAATAACTTCATATGGTTTGTATGCATAATACTTTTGATCAAATTGCTATCGCAATGGCTACATTGCTACAGTTTTGTCTTATTCTAGATGGAGTCTGCTGAAGACACTGATCAGTTCACTGAAGAATGCATGTGAAAAAATTGTGTTTTCCAATCTGAGTATTTTTATTTGCTTCTGTATTAACTCACTTTTTCTTCTTGCCCAGTGAGCTATCTACTGCCGAGGTAGTCATAGATAGACCCTAATTTTTAGAGAAAATAATACAATATATAGGCCTTTGTTTAAGTTCCTCAGTTCTGTGTTTATCAAGCGTATGCATAGGAAAGAATAGAAATCTAAGTTCTTGAAAGGAATTCCGTATTCCTCCCTTTATATTCTCCTTCCTGGTCTTCAATATACAAGAAAGAGATTGGAGTCAGAGAAGAGTAGGGTACAGGGAAATAATAGATGGTGATTTCCATTGTCTGTAGTTGTCTTAGAAGGCATGTGTTGGCTTTTATTCTGCTTTTTTTTTTTTCTGAGAAATCGGTTGAATTTAATATGCTAGCCACATTTTCTTCTCTTGGAAATTCTGAAGCCAAGGCCTCTCAGCCTTATTCTCTTTGGTTATCATGATATTATTTGAGTAAGCATTTCAAAGTTTTATTCATACTCATTTTGTTTTGGATTTCAGTGAGAACAGTCCTGTGTGAAGGAGGAGTCCCACAGAGGCCAGTTGTTTTTGTTACTCGGAAGAAGCTGGTGAATGCAATTCAGCAGAAGCTCTCCAAACTGAATGGTGAACCAGGATGGGTCACTGTACATGGAATGGCAGGTTGTGGGAAGTCTGTATTAGCTGCAGAAGCTGTTAGAGATCATGTCTTCTTACAAGGTGAGTTTTGATTACCATATTTGCTAACTAAGGAGATATTCTTGAGGCATTGTATTAGTTTCCTGTTACTGTTGTAACAAGTTACCAAA